TAACGTTTGATCCGCTGTTTCATACAAGTGCACCGCCGAACGAATCGGCAGCTTCACCAAACCAACAACTGCCCTTCTTTGATGCTTTGAGCCAGCTTGCGGCTTTTCCAACAATTCCGTCCGGAACACTTGATATTGTTGGAGTCAGTAATTCAGTTATTGCACAGATTCCTTCGAATCCTGGTAAATTAATAATTTTTTTGTTATTCTATTCGTTTTTTGAAGACGTCAAAGTAGCTGTGCCGCCTCCAACAGCACCAGCTCCACAGTCATTTCACCAGCCGCCACCACAGCAGCCGTATCAACCACCGCCACCGCAAACATTTCAACAGCCAATTCAACCAGTTCAGTCAAATTACCAAAGTTCATCATCAAACTATGCACAGCAGCAACAGCAGCAACCGAAACAATTGTCCAGACCAGTGCCAATTGATCACACAGTTATCACTGCAGCGACGAAAAACTGTAAATTTGCCATTAGTGCGCTACAATACGATGATGTGAACACTGCGATCGATAACTTGGAGAAAGCTTTGGCTATTCTGAGACCACATCGCAAATAGTGAAAAATATTTGAAACTTGAGAAGATTTTCTTTTTTTTTTTTGCATTGAAATCACATAAAAACATGGTTTGCAGAAGATGAAGAATAGCCGATGACTGGGAAAGAGAAAGTAAAGACAAACAAACAAACAAATAGGTGAAACTGATTCTGCCGAAAGTGAAACCTCGGGACTTGATTAAGGACGACAAATGGATATTTTTTCCTGGAGATATTGTACAGGTTATTGGTGGGGAAACAGGTTATATCGGCAAACAGGCGAAAGTTCTTGATGTCGTGCGTAAATTAAACTCGGTAACTTTGGAAAACGTGAAGCTGGTGGGTGTAAAACCTGCACTCTTTCTTTTTTTTTTTTTTTTTTGATTTATTCATTTAATATTATTTTGCAGGCCACCAAACACGTCCGTCCGAATCCAATAATGCCTTATGGTGGAAAAATTACAAAGCCAATGCCAATTCACTTTTCGAATATTAAACTTGTCGATCCAACCGTTGGGTATAATATTTTAATCTTATGCGAAGAAACAAAATATGTTGTCTCAACAACAAAACAAGAAAAATCACAGACGCAAAGCTGAAAAAGGAAATCAACCAAACAACACGCCGCGCCGAAATATTTCGCATCTTAAAAGAATCGGGAACGAAACTGCCTGTTCCTATTGATGATGGGCCGGTTGACAAATATGAATCTAGTACTCTCGACACACCGAAAGAAGCGGTGCTTGAAAGGACATGGACACCATCAATTTTTCAAATTCCTTTTCCCGCACGATTTATGAACCAGATGGAGAGACTACGGAGAATGAATTCTGGACGAGGCGAGTTTTGAAGCCTGCAAATAAAAGTCAAATCTTTATTTTCATTCTTTTCGAACCTTAAATTATATTTCTCCGCATGTATATTTCATCGATGATTTGAGGACAGAAAACGGTTCAAAAATTTAACATTCCCAGTGCCGCCAGATTTCACATCCACCAGCGGTTTTAAAAATACTTCTTTATTTTGCTGAAGAGTGAAAACATTTGCAACGCAAAATATCAAATAAAGGAAAGTATTCTTACCTTTCCTTTTTCTGTTTATACCAGGCTTCTTCCAGTGATTGTAATAGTGGGCGTAATTTCTCAATATATTTATTTTGTTCGATTTCTTTACATGAGCCATCCGAGATACTCTGCTTTTGGATATTTCAGCTGTAATTCTTCCCACTGCACTATAAAACGATCACAGATATGATACAATATTCTTCCGGATAGCGACAGATTTTCAACACATGTGAATGATTCGACGTAAATAATCTTTGTTCTTTTGATTGGCTGGGAAGGATTGAGAATATTGGTATAGGCAGGATTGAACTAAACGTAATTATACCCACACGAAATAGAAACGCGACGCAACAGATTGGCACACAGGTTCCAGGACCGTTGCACAAGATCTGTGTGTATGTTAACGCAACACATGATTGACGAGGCTCAAAATGATTCTGGATAACGGTGGACAAACCACATCTGGGCGGAAACGAAACCAGACAAGTACAGCATTCAGCAGAGCAGCCAGTGTCGAGAATATGGACGAGAACCAAGACTGACCGACATTCCGGCTACGAGTAATTGACACAACGGTAAAGCTTTTGGAGTCATTGTTGTTGTTGTTGTTGTTGTTATTATTGCTACTGTTGATGTTGCTTTGTTCGAGTTTTGCGATTCGATCCATGGACAACTCATCCGTTTGCGCCGCACAATAAACAATTCGGCCAAACACGCGTCGGTCAATCACACCAACAAGCCGCACCATCTCCGCTGTGTGGCCACCGCTTCCCAAAACAACAAGGCACGTTTTTGTGTAGATCATTTTTTGGCAACGTTTGTTTGATAAAACACAACGCCCATCAATATGATATCTGCAGCCTCTTCACCCAACAAAATGAAGTGACCAGATTCCAATCATTGCAACTTCAAGCTGAAAGTAACACAATCAAAGCAGATCTTCAAAGATATTACAAATCTCACAAAGTCATTTTATTCAAAAGGCTGCTGAAAAATTGACAAAAAGCATGGCATAACACCAGAGATTGCCAGGTCAGCATATCAATGTGTCAAGCAACAGTTTAATGATATGATTTTTATTGCCTTTCTATAAACAAAAGCCCTTTGTCATTGGTTTATGGGGCACACAGATTTTATAACCAGATCCAACACAAAACCTACAGGCCCAGTGTATGACAGCTATGATCATTTCTACAAGTATCACAAAAATGAGATAGCTTGAAGCATTTGAAAGCAATCTTGATGGTATGAACTGGTCCATATATTCTCAGGGAAGTCAAATCATGAGTTGTAGGGTTCAAGCATTGGATGCTTAAGAAAGGCCATAGCTTGAAAAATCAAATGAATGCTGATGGGATGAGAATCAAATAACAAAACAATAGCTCATAATCAAAAGCCATTGTAAGCAATAAAATTGTGTGTCCAAATATATTTGAAGATGACAGAGGCCTATTTGCAAGTTTTATTCCATTTGTGATGGATGGATACCCATTAAATTTGGAAACATTCAGCTGCCCATTGAACACAAACTGTGGCAAGATGACATTATTCTCAAATCTGTAGTGTACAATGAAATAGGATACTTGACTGAGACTCAGTAGAGATCTGTTTTGGTGGAGATGAAATGAGTTTGGTCAGTTTTGCACAAAGGACTCACCCTAGTTTTGTTGTACAATAATCTTGGAGTTCACACAACAGTCAAAGTTCTTACAGAATGTTTTGAGGCAGGTATTAATAGCTTCTTTCTGCTAGCAAAAATGATTCATTTTCATTGTTAATTTAATTTTCTCCAAGAAATTTCTAGAATTTCTCATGCCTTCATTACTTTCAAAAACTCAAAACAATTCAAGCAATTTTTTGAAAGATCTTTTATATATATTTTTTTCTTTTTCTTTCTATTCCAAAAACTACTTTAAACCCAAACTCTTTCTGTTATTTTATTATTGGTCTTAAAAAATAAAACAAAGGCTTTACATTAAGTATTACAATTTTACTCCAACTATATCCCTTACTTAAATCTCAAACTTTTATCATTTAGTTCTAAAATATCCAGTATTGAATTAGTTGACTCAAGCCATTACAGCCACCAGTCTTACTGCTACTCTTCTGCAACTCATCAGAACCTTACACTTGTTCCCCAGTCTTCTCTTTCACATTCACTGACTTATACTATCAAGCCAACATATACAGATCAATCTGCTTTTATTACAACCAAAAAATCTTCTTTATTGGATTCACAAAATGCTGCTGTTATCCAGTACTTCAACAATGACCCCCAGCATTGAAGAATTTAACTACACCATCAATTTTTCAGAACCAGTTGATCCTGATCCAGTCATGAATGTAGTCACTCTTGTGAAATTACTACATGCCTTAAGTCATGTAACACAGAGGTTTTTATCCTCCAGCCAGTTAGTCACCAGACAAGTAATGAGCAAATTGGAGATTGGGATTTTGGAGATGAATTAGACGCCAAAATTATTTTTAGTTTGTGATTATTTTTAGTTTTTTATTACGCTTAGTGGGATTATTTTTAGTTCTGATTATTATTCTTGGTTTGTGATTATTCTTTGGTTGTTTGTGATTTTTCTTAGTTGTGATGATTTTTAATTGGAATATAATATTGATAAACTCTTATATATTCCACATTTTTTTTCTTTTTGGGTATACTCCAGTAGCAGTTATTAAAATAATAAACTTGCATTAAAAGCTTTGGCTATGGGGAAACAAAAATGCTGTATAACCCCTGACTGTGCTGGCTAATCAAATACTGCATAACTTCACAGTTTCTAAGAATCTGCTAACTGTCAGAAATATGGCTGCAAATATGTGTGCCATTTGTTTTAATTTTACATTGTCTGTGTAAATTTCTATATTTCAGTCTTAGTCATTAAATTTAGGGATTAAAAATGATGTTTATTTTTCACCCTTGTTTGTTTGCCAGCTTACTATGTTTGAATTAAAAAATCTTGAAAGACAAATATAAATTAAACTCAATTATGCAAATTTAAACTAAGAGTATGTAAAAATATGCTCAACCATACTGAAAAATAATGGAAAAAGAGTAAGCATTATACAGATATTATTCTTTTATGAAATAACACTAAAAAAAAGCAATCCTTTGAGTTGAATGAAGAAGAAAATGAAGAAAAACTTAAAAATCTGCATGATAAGGAAGGAACAGCATGGATTGTAAGTATTACATTGCAGCAATTTGGAAAAAGAAAAAAAGACAATATGAAAATACTAAAATGCAAAAATAAATTTCCCTTTCAACTTTGCCATCTCTGATTAAAAAATTGCACATGCTGCATTTATTGTACTCTCACCAAACACCATAAACACAACTATTCTAAAACTTTTTGCCACAGTTGAGGAGGAGCAACAAAAATAATTCGACAACGGCAGGATTTGAACCTGCGCTCCCAGAGGGAAATAGATTTCTAGTCTATCGCCTTAACCGCTCGGCCACGTTGTCATCGAATTATGTAATGGAATAACTATTTTTGATGTTATTTACATTTTTTTCAGCCGTTCTGGAAAATTCTACAAGAAACTCAATAACTCAATAACCAAAAACAATCAAGACCTACTTCAAGTGACATCTTATTCTTCTATATTTTCTCTATCACTTTATCAATTCTTATGCTTTATTTCACTTTTATTGTTACTTTCTTACTTCTTCATTTTTCCCTTTTTCTCTTTATTTTTCTTTTTCTGGAAACTTCTTTCTTTCTTTTTCAAATCCTAAACTATAAAAACCTGAACTAGGAATGCAAAGAAAAAAAATGAGAAAAATCTTCTAAAACTTAATTCTTTGGCTCTTAAATCCACTAACTAGAGGCTCATTCCGTAACAAACTGTCACGGAAATTGACTAGTTTTCCGTAACTTCAACTCGAAATTATTACTATTATATTCTTATTTTATTATAATATTATCTTTTATTTTCCTTTATTATTTTTCTATTTGTCAGCCGCAAGTTCTTTTCCATTTCACAATTTTCTTTATGAAATTTTTACTTGTGCTGCCCAAAAATTCTATTTCACTTTGTTTCAGAAAGGATGCTCAAACTCTATAAATTCAGAGTTATTGAATTAAAATAAACAGAGAATTCTTTATTAAAAACTTCAACTTCGCTTTGCTTTAGAACAAAAAGAAAGACTTCGCCATGTAAGACACAGCTCAAGAATATTTGTCGCTTTGCTTGTTCCAAGTTGACTTCGCCCACTTGGAATCTCTTTGATTCTCTCACATATTGGTAGCACCAGAAAAATCTAAAAACCCCTCTCTTCATCAATGTCAAGACCAAACGCCTTCGCCGTTCCAGACGAAATGGACTACTCAGGCTCAAACCCTTCAAATCCGCAAGCTGGACAACTAGCCGCTATTCTACAAGAAATGCAGGAACTCAGAGAAACAGTTCAAAGGCTCAGTCTTAATAACAACAGCTTACAAGCTGAACTTCAAAATAGGGTCTCTCACAAAAATTCTTCAGTGATCCCTCCTAATACATTTAACTTACCATTTTTCAAAATCACCTCAGTAAGGCCACCAGAATTCAATGGCAACACTAAAACCAAGCCAGCACACAAAACTCAAAATATCATCGACAATTACTTACTTAGATGTAAAGAACAAGCCCAACTATATGGATTTCTCGCAGACGGCGCTGAGCCAATTCTCCAACAACAGCTGCGCTACACAGCCTGGATTACTACAGGACTCACAGAGTATGCTTGTACATGCTGGAGACATCTACCAGAAGATCAGCATAGAAATATGACTTGGAAAAATTATCAAGCTTGGATTTATTTAAATTTTGGATCCCAATTAACCTTAACATAAGCCGTTGAAGGCATGGATTTTCTTAAACAGACAAGATCCATAACATTATATTTATAAGAATTTAATAATCTTTTATCTGCAATTCGCTTCGGAAGTATTAATTTTGAAGATAGATACTGTTGTGTTAAGTACCTTCAGGGTCTTAAGCCGCACCTTTGCAACAAGCATGAACTATTCAACATCAAAGACAATCTAAACAAACTTCAAATGGAGACCAAACGCCTAGACAATTTTTATTGGTGAAGAGCAAAAGAGAGGCCTACTCCACAGCAAAATGGCACAAAACAAAATTTTCCTTCACAAAAATTTTCAACCCCAAATTTTCACAATTACCACAACAACGGACCACAACCAATGGATCTCTCAAACACACAATCTTTCCCACGTCTCTCAGAAGAAGAAAGAAAGATGTACTGGAAAAATGGTTGGTGTACATTCTGCAGACTCAAGAACCATAAGCGAGATCAATGCCGAAAAGCACAACAACAGTACCCAAGCAACAATAATCACAATAAAACCCCTAACAAAAGCAGCAGAAATTATTTGAACAACAATAATGAGCAAACCAATACTGGAAACTTCCAGTATGCCAAACACGTCAACTACATCGAAGCCGCCACCACTATCAGTGAAAGCAACAGCACTACCAAGGATGGCAACAATAGCAAATTGACTCAAGCTTGAAGAACACAAACATGAACAAGAATCAATTGCAACACATACTGAACCTTTCTCAATGGACTCACTAACGGACTTATTATCTCTTCAACTGCACCACACAGAACAACCAACTTCACAATCATCTCTCCTCACAATTAACAGTTTCATAGGAAATCAACCAGCCAAAATACTCATTGACCCAGGAGCCAATGCCAGCTTCATGAACACACGCACAACACAACCATCACCCAGAAATTCATCGCACAAACAAAAGGCAACCAATACACCTAGCAGACTATTCAATTATTGATGGACGCATTTACAAGAATATTGAATATACTATCACTACTTCAACTAGATTCAGGGACCAATATAACTTCATCTCTGCTAACATTGCCTACAATTTAATATTAGGTAAGGACTGGTTAGACAAGTTCAATCCAGCCATAGATTGGCCCTCAAATACTCTTCGCTTCAACTTCAAGAACAATTTACATCAATGGATCTGCAAGATGCCTCCACGCGAGATTCAAATACTATTGGCAACAGCCTTTAAAAACTTACTTCAAAGACCGCAAGACATTCAAATGCAAGAAATGCTCATACTAAAGACATCACAAGGGGACAATAAGGCAATTGTGACCCCACCTAAAGAAATCAATAACATTGCCTCAAAAGAAGGTTCAGACATTGTCAAGACTACAGAAGAACAGAATCAGGCAGACGCCAAATCAAAATTAACAGAAACACTTCTGAAGGAACTTAAAATAATAATCAAGAAATACAAATCAGTTTTCCAGCCTTTTGAAGGACTGCCACCATCTTGAAGCATAGACCACAAGATCGAACTAATTGACAAAAGCTCAACTCCAACTTCACAACCAATCTATTCAATGAATGAGGAAGAACTCAATGCATTAAAGAAAGAATTAACCTTTCTCCTACAGAATAAGTGCATTCAAGAATCAATATCACCCTACGGCGCTCCTATATTCTATGTCAAACAGAAGGACAAGCTTTGACTTGTCTTTGACTATCACGCACTTAATAAGAATATTGTCAAGAACAGGACTGCACTGCCAAATATACTGGAAATTTTGGACAGACTATTACACGCAAAATACTTCACCAAACTAGATTTAGCCTCGGGATATCATCAAATAAGGATCCACAAGAAAAACATACACAAGACAGCCTTCAGATCAAAATACAGTCATTTTGAATGGGTAGTAATGCCATTCGGACTTTCAAATGTGCCAGCAACTTTTCAAACCATGGTCAACAACATATTCTGCAAATATGTTGACAATTTCCTCAATGCATACATCAACAACATACTTGTTTATTCAGAAACATACAATCAACACTTACAACACATCGAATCAGTATTAAAGAAGCTACAAGAAAACAAGCTTCACTGCCATTTAACCAAGTGCGACTTCTTAAAACAACAAGTTGACTACCTTGGATACCACATTAGAAATAATCAAGTTCAAGTCTCAAACAAATGCATATCTTCAATTTGAGAATTTGTACCACCAACAAATTACTCATCACTCTGCTCATTCTTAGGACTTGCAAACACAGTCCACTGCTTTGTGGAAATCATGCCAAACTGGTTGCTCCACTTTCTGATTTATTAAAGTACCATAAAACAAGGCCAGAATCAGAAATATTCCCTTTATCACCATCACTAATGAAAATCTTCAACCAAGCAAAACAAGCCCTAATTTTGCAAAAATTTTAGGAATTTTTGATACAAACAAAACAGTATACTTAGCAACAGACTGGGCCAAAAGATCATTAGGATCATGCGTCTATCAACTAGATGAAAAACAAAGTCCTCTTCCAATAGCTTATGCTTCAAGAAAGTGTAACCAAGCCAAATCAAACTATCATCCATACATGGGTGAAATTTTATCACTAGTAGAAGCTCTCCACACTCATCACCAATATATTCAAGGAAACAATGTCTATGTCTACACTGATCACAACTCTCTTCAACACATTTTAACACAGCCCAAGCTTCAGCTTGTACATCTTAGATGGCTTGCTGACCTTCAACAATACGACTTCAAAATTCAATGGAAACCAGGAAAATGGAACACAATTGCAGACACACTATCTAGACGATCCTTTTCACAGGACATTGCTACATCAACAGATGATTTAAATGTCACTAAATCAACAGCAATGCAAATTAATACAATTTTACACCTCAATAACAAGTTCAGGGAGAGCCTCTTTGTGTATATGTTACGTGACTCAACAATAAATATAAGCTGTTTAATAAGGCAGCTGAAAATCATACAGAAATATTGTATATAAAATTTCTTGTGTACTTTAC